TATTGAAACTGAGAGCGTATTGTAGCATTCAGCTAGTCTTTATCTAGCGATGCCTTGAAGATCAACTGGATAGTTGTCACCTTATGAAGCATCGTGCTTAGCTGTGAATGGCTAGGATTTAAAAGTTGTGATTGGTGCGTTTTGAGGAAAAGATCACGCGGCGCTGCGCTATCGCACGCCTCTCCGTCTGTGCGTACAAGTTGCTCTTTTAAAGCATGCACAAAAAATTGTATTGCGGGCGGCACAAATCTATCCATTACGCGTACTCGAAGTCCAGGGCTTGGTACAGCGTACCACTGGCGCATGCTTTGGCATTACACGGTCTTCACTTGGGCTAAGAAATGTGAAGCCAGCAAGCAGAGAATAACCTACCCACGCTTTGGGCGGGAGATCATACCAGTTAGTTTTTATCCGAAAACAATACAATTTCTAGTAAACTTTCAAAGCAAAAATAGTCATGGTTAAAACTATGTCAACCGCAAGCTCGAGAAGAATTCCTTATAACGCGCGCGGAGGTGGATGAGAAAGTGGACAAGAAGATGAAGCATTGAATTTAAATTGTAAGAGACAGGATCAAAAAGGAAACCTCCACTGGTAGAATGAGTTGGCATTAAATAGATGAAAATGTCATTTCAAAAATTTGGGCGAAAACATGGGATACAGGAACCAAATATTTGAAACTGGAAACAAATAAAAGCAATATCGATGTCTGACTTTCTCGGCAGGCGCCATTTTGGATTGCATGACGTCATTCAGTTTCCGCTGCTATCATTGAACAATAGTATTTTGTCCACAGTGGTCCACAGGGGATAATACGGAGATTGCAGCAACCTTGGAGACTTAGAGACTCAACATGGCGACGCTCAAAAAGTCCACATCCAAAATAACTGATAACTGTTTCCATTTTTTTCCATACAAAATACTTCATTTCCATCTACGCCGACAAATTTTTACTTCTAAAAATAAATTTGGATGATAAAACGACGATTTCTCTCCACCAGTGGCTTTTTTTAAGAAATGGGCAAAGACAAAGGTTCCCGCTTTAAGGTAGTTTATTTTCAGTATGATATGCATACACAATAATTCCGTAAATTTTTGTTGCTTCATTCATAGTCTACCCCATTTGGTTTGATCCAAAGATACGACATGTCTTGAAAAGCCAGCTTCTTTATTCTGCAAAATGAACACAAAAGCTTGATTTTGTGACACTCGTATGTGAGAAAAGTTTCTCCATGAGCATCACTTTATGATAATAATTATAAGTATTGATATATTTTTTTAACTTTAAAAAACACTACATTAAATTCCTACAAACCTACCTATGAGCTACATTGCTAAAATAATATTGAACTTTAAAAACCAGCCTCTTTATCCTAGAAAATGGCACGAAATGTTGTTTTTTGTGACGCTCGCATGTGAGAAAATTTTTTCGGTAAGCATCAATGTAAGCAGATCAGAGCTTATAAAGCTAACAACCAGAGTTTTAATGAT